TCATTATGTCACCCTCAGTAGAGTGCCATGGCTTCACAGCTCACAGCAACCTCAAACTCTCGGGCTTAAGTGATTCTCTTGCCTCAGCCTCCTGAGTAACTGGGACTACAGGCACCCACCACAAGCCCAGCTATTTTTGGTTACAGTTGTCATTGTTGTTTAGCAGGCCCTGGCTAAACAGGCTCGAAACTGCCAGCTTTGGTGTATGCGGCCCTTTAACTCAGGCCCTAAAGCATCCTCCTACTTCCATACAAAAAAGAGGCATCTTCTTCCTTGTACTCCTCCAAATAGGCATAATGGCTGGACTTGGCATGAGCACTTCAGGCTTCATCAATCCACTTTTACCACCAACTCCCTAGAACTTAACGAGGATATGGAAAGGGTAGCAGACTCTTTAGTCACCCTATAATCCCAAATTAATTCTTTAGCTGTAGTAGTCCTCCAAAATCGCGAGCCTTAGATTTACTTACAGCAGAAAAAAGGAGGCACATGCATTTTTGGGATAAGAATGTTGTTTCTTGGCTTGGCACCTACAGCACAGTGGTTACAGTGTCAGCCACATACACCAAGGTTGGAGGGTTCAAACCCAGCCTGGGCCAGATAAAACAACAATGACAACTGTAACAAAAAATAGCCGGGCGTTGTGGCAGGTGCTTGTAGTCCCAACTACTTGTGACCTGAGGCAAGAGAATCACTTAAGCCCAAGAGTTTGAGATTGCTGTGAGTTGTGATGCCACAGCACTGTATTGAGGCTGACATAATGAGACTCTGTCTCAAAAAAAAGAAAAAAAATGTTGTTTGTTTGTTAACCAGTCAGGAATAATCATAGGCAAAGTAAAAGAACTCCAAGAACGAATCAAACAGGGACAAACAAATCTTGAATCATCTAATCCCTGGTCCTTATTCCTGGTCTTGGTTATTTCCTACTTTAGGGCCATTAATTTTGATCTTTCCCATTCTCAGTGTTTTCTTTCTTTCTTTTTTTTTTTTTTTGAGACAGAGTTTCCCTATGTCACCCTAGGTAGAGTGCCGTGGTGTTACAGCTCACAGCAACCTCAAACTCTTGGGCTTAAGCGAATCTCTTACCTCAGCCTCCCAAGTAACTGGGACTACAAGCGCCCACCACAATGCCCAGCTATTTTCTGTTGCAGTTGCTGTTGTTTAGCTGGCCCAGGCTGGGTTCGAACCCACCAGCCTTGATGTATGTGGCTGGTGCCATAACCCCTGTGCTACGGGTACCAAGCCTCATTCTCTGTTTCTGACCAGTAGTCCTCCACCTCATCTGCTGACTTATTGACCAGGCAGTGACCTGAAAAACAATTGCTCATATCCTCGCCATACGTGGATATCAACCAGTTCAGACTGAAGACCCAAGAGTGTTGCTATAAACACTACTTCCTTCCCCCTCTCCTTTTTCCCTAATAGGCAGCCCAAGCTGATCCTCAACCCATAGGAAGCAGTCAAAGAGATACCACTTGCCTCTTTATAACAGATTAAAAAGAATGGGATGATAGGGCCAAATGCAGGGACCCATGTAGATAGAACCGAGGGCAGGGACATGGAAATGAATGCACAAGTCCCACCCAGGAAGGAATGAGTGACCCAATCCCCACTCCCGGACCCTTATATTCCCACCCTATCTTAATCCATGTGCTGACTTCTTTTACGAACTCAGCCAGTTTGTACTCGAGTGAATAAAGGCCACGTTGTCCACATAGAACCTACTCTGCTTCCTTTCATGTCTTGGAATAACTTCTCATTTTCAGACCCAAACCTCTCATGCATGAAAGAAAATATAGTTAGTGTGTATTAAATAACTGCTTGGCATTATCCTAAGTGAAGTAACTCAGAACAGAAAACCAAATACCACACGTTTTCTCTTATAAGTGGGAGCTAAATTATGGGTATACAAGGTCACACAGAGTGACATAATGGACACAAGGCATAATGAGGGGGAGGGATTAAAAATTATCTAATTAATTAAAAATAGCGTGCAGTATACGCTATTTGGGTAATGGGTACACCTGAAGCCCAGATCACCATTACGTAACATATCCATGTAACAAAACTCCACTTATACCCCCTGAATTTACTGAAATAAAAAAAATTAGAACAATGGAAAAATTTTAATTTTTTTAAAAATTCCTTTCTTTCTTGGAGAAACCAGAAAACATCAAAAATAAAGAAATTTAAAATAAAAAAATGAAATGATGGCTTGAAATACCTCAGGTGATACTTGATACTTTTTTTGCTTTTATAAAGACATTTTGCTTAATGTGTTCTGAATACCTTGGTCATATGGTGACAGACAACATAAATATTAATATAAAAATTGGCTTTCCAGGTAAAATGTGAAATGTGATCTATCTTAAAAAATTTTTAAATGTTTGAGATGATGGATATCCTAATTATCTTGATCTTGAAGGAGCTAAGGAAATTTCACCCCCAAATATGACTCCTTGGTATAAAGAATATTTTGAATTAAAGGCCATTCGTGATCAGAAAGCATTGTAAGAGGCCTTCCCTCTATCTGCATAAAACCCAACTAACCTGACTGGGAATCAAAAGGAGGTGCTGACTTCCTTTTCTTCCCCTGAATGCTAAGAGACCTGGCCTCAAATCATTTAAAACAGAATACCTGTCTTTCAGGTTAATTTATGTCAATGTTTTTTCCTCCATCTATTCATCCTCCCTAGCAACCACTTGGAGCACCTATACTCTCCACAATCTCCCCTCTCTCTTCTAAAAGGCATCTATAAAGGTCTCTGACCATCACTGAGACTTTGGGTAATCATCCTTGTGGTTCCTCCCATGTACATATTAATCTGCCCTGATTGTGAGTTGATATTTCAGTGAACCAACCAAGGGAAAAGGGTGTGATCCCTGCAAAGTAATCACTATACGTTATACATATCAAAACATAGCTGCATGCCCCACAAAGATGTACAATCATTATTTGTCAATTAAAAAATTATCATCCCCTCTGAATAAATAACTTTGTGAAAAATAAGTACCCATGTCCATATCAAATGATCACAAATTACATGGAAGTTTGGTATTTTTTTTTTCTTCTGGTTTAGATTGAAGTGTCAGGGAGAATTCCCTCAATAACACAGAAGATGAATTCTATTTAAGAAGGCAAAAAGGTGAGAGGCGTAGGAAGAAGCTGTAAAATTTTAAGGGAAAATACACCATAGACTGTCATGTTTAAAGTCCTTAATTAGGAAGAACATATACCCTCAAATGTGTTAAAATAACATGTTTTATTTAACACTGTGGCTACAATGACTTGAGTAGCCAATTTAATTAATTTTTGTGTAGAATTCAGAAGAAAGCTCTTTCGTTGTCTCTGATTCACTGAAGAAAGTCTTAAGATGGCAAGATTAAAATTTTTATCATTTATTTTCATGATTCAAGATGTTCCTGATAGCATGAATCCAAAATAATATGTAAATGAAGTGGACACTGAGGCTCCCACTATTTGTTCTATGGAATGCTGACAGATATCATCTAATTTAGTTTAGGGAATATTAACAAAGCTAAAAAGATTTCTTTATGATTTCTCACAAAGAAGGAGAGTTAGAGAGAAGGCTCTCTTTTAAATTTCTGGCTTAGAAAATTTAATAGACCATCACTCTTATATTTCATGATTAAAAACAGAAATTCAAAGGAGATAATATTAACTAAACAAAATCCTATTTACCATTTGTTGAATTCTTCACTATAAATTCCATTATTGCCTGTAAGTTCTAGGCATGTCCACCTATTAAGACAGTCAAGCCAAGTAAATCCACTTTTAAAACAGTACTCCTTTGGATCATACTCATAGTTTCCCATTCAGTCATTCATTCATCATTTATTCAATGAACAGTATTCACTGATGTTTACTGAGAAGCTATGGTATGCCAAGCAATGAGGAATATGGGAAGAAGCAGAGCCCATAAAAGTGTTTCTAAATTCAAAAAGTTTCTTAGTCTGTCAGGAAATAAAAATGAGGTGACCAGCAATTATAGAGTGATATGCATAAGATTTGACCTATTTTCATCTATCTGCACAATATGTGGACTCTAAACATTTCTTTTTTTCTTCCTTTTTTGATAGTCTCATTTTATTGCCCCAGGCTAGAGTACTGTGATGTCAGCCTAGCTTACAGCAACCTTAAACTCCTGGGTTCAAGTAATCCTCCTATCTCAGCCTCTCCAGTAGCTGGATCTATAGGTGCCCACCACAACACCCAGCTAATTTTTGTATTTTATTTTTATTTTATTTTTTTTGAGACAGAGCCTCAAGCTGTCCCCCTGGGTAGAGTGCTTTGACATCACAGCTCACAGCAACCTCCAACTCCTGGGCTCAAGCGAGTCTCCTGCCTCTGCCTCCCAAGTGGCTGTGATCACAGGCACCCACAGTGCCAGGCTATTTTCTTTGGTTGCAGCCATCATTGTTGTTTGGCAGGCCTGGGCTGGATTTGAACCCACCACCTTAGGTGTATGTGGCTGGTGCCTTAGCCACTTGAGCCACAAGCGTGGAGCCTAATTTTTGTATTTTTAGTAGAGATGGGGTCTCACTCCTACTCAGACTGGTCTCAGATTCCTGGGTTGAAGTAATTCTCCTGCCTCAGCCTCCCAGAGTGTTAGGATTACACGAGTGAACCACTCTACCCTGCCTGTTTCTTTCTTTTTTTTTTTTTTTTTGAGACAGAGCCTCAAGCTGTCCCCCTGGGCAGAGTGCCGTGGCATTACAGCTCACAGCAACCTCCAACTCCTGGGCTCAAGCGAGTCTCCTGCCTCCGCCTCCCAAGTAGCTGGGACCACAGGCGCCCGCCACAACGCCCGGCTATTTTTTGGTTGCAGCCGTCATTGTTGTTTGGCGGGTCCGGGCTGGGGATTCGAACCCGCCACCTTAGGTGTACGTGGCTGGCGCCTTAGCCAGTTGAGCTATAGGCGCCGAGCCCCCTGCCTGTTTCTTATATAAGCAAATGAAATTAAAATTTTTTTTGTTACCTTGTCCAAATTCCATTTTCTCAGACACCAATTTGTTTTGTTCTTGTACTGGATCATCAGGTACTTCTGAAAGTGAAAGGGAATGTTGGTAAAAATTTTGCTGAAATGGAGACTGCTCTGGACAAACCAGGATGCATGGTTACCCTAGCTACGGGTGATCCTTACTCGCCCAAAATACTATTCTGAAGAGTGTGATCATTAAAAACATAAGAGAGCCAGCATGGTGGCTCACACCTGTAATCATAGCACTCTGGGAGGCCAAGGCAGGTGGATTGCCTGAGTTTAAGAGTTTGAGACCAGCCTGAGAAAGAGTGAGACCCTGTCTGTAGAAGTAGCTGAGCATTGTGGCAGGCACCTGTAGTCCCAGCTACTTGGGAGGCTGAGGCAAGAGAATCACTTGAGCCCAAGAGTTTGAGGTTATTGTGAGCTGTGATGCCACAACACTCTACTGAGGGTGACAAAGTGAGACTCTGGTCTCTTAAAAAAAAAAAAAGCATACAATAACAGATTATGTATATAATCCAAGGTAGGCTGGTGAGACCCACATGGACTTCTTTTTTTTTTTAGACTTTCTAGTCTCTCAGCGTCAGAGTTAAGGTTTCCATGACCATACATGTATTTTTATATCCAGAAGAGGGACAGACTCTCTTGAATGGCCGTTTTGTGATAGGGAAAGAGAGTTTCAGGTGTTTGGGTTTCTGTCAAGTACCACTAAAACAGCTATCAAAGAATCTTAATGAAGCTGAGTATGGTAGTTCACACCTATAATCACAGTAGATTTGTGAGATTAAGGTGGGAGCATCTCTTGAGGCAATCCTGGGCAATAGTGAGAACCTGTCTCTAAAAAAAAAATTCAAAAAATTAGCCAATTAGTCAGGTGTGAGTTAAGTGAGCTATGACAACATCACTGTACTCTAGCCTGCCAACTTTTTTCTTTTATTAAAAAAAAAAATCCTAATCAAACAAAATTCTAACAGCAGCCTATGGAATGACAGGGGGATTTGCCTATAGATTCTTAGGCCCCATAATAACAAGAAATGCTTTATATTATAACAATTCAGAACCCATTTCTAATTTCATGCACACTTGATAGGAATTGTGTGTCCTCTGAAGAAGGAGATGCCTGATTATCTGATTGAGTTTGGAAATGCCTGCCTAAAACAAGAAAATCTGAGGAGGTGATGACCTTTATGAGCTAAGAACCTAAGGCCAGCATAGATTCATAGAAAGGAACTGAAGGATGGTATCATTTCTTATATTCTCTTAGAATCAACTGTGGTTAAAAAGAGTGCTGTAAAACAAAAACAAACTCCAGAAAATAATAAGTGTTGGTAGAGATGTAGAGAAGGTGGAACCGATACTCTGCTGGTAGGAACATAAATGGGTTAGCTGCTACAGAAAAGTTTGGCTAGTCTTCAAAAGGTTAAACACAGAATTACTACATGATATAGGTTGAGTATCCTTTACCTTATTCAAAATGCTTAGAACCAAAAGGGTTGTGGATTTTGTATTTTTGAATATTTCATAAACATGAGATATCTTGGAGATGGGACCCAAGTCTAAACACAAAATTCATTTATGTTTCCTATACACCTTGTACACAAAGCCTGATGGTAATAAGGCTTTTAACTGTTTAAAAGTTTTAACTGTGTTTTGACTGCCACCCATCGATCACATAGGTCAGATGTCAAATTTTCTACTTGTAGCATCACGGAAATGCTGAAAAAGTTTTGGATTTTTAGGGATTTCAGATTTTCAAATTAGAGATGCTAAATCTGTATAGCAATTCCACTCCTAGATATCAATAATACACAAAATAATTGAAATCACGTATACTCAAATAATACATGTCTATGCATACTCATAGAAGTACGATTCATGTGAGCCAAAATGTGGATATCACCTAAATGTCCACTAAATGAATGGACAAACTGTGGCATATCCATACAATGGAATATATATATATGTGTGTGTGTGTGTGTGTGTGTGTGTATTTTTTTGAGACAGAGTCTTACTATGTTGCTCTCGGTAGAGTGCTGTGGCGTCACAGGTCACAGCAACCTAAAACTCTTGGGCTTAAGCGATTCTGTTGCCTCAGCTTCCCAAGTAGCTGGACTACAGGTACCCGCCATAATGCCCAGCTTTTTTTTTTTTTTTTTGAGACAGAGTCTCAAGCTGTCCCCCTGGGTAGAGTGCTGTGACATCACAGCTCACAGCAACCTCCAACTCCTGGGCTCAAGCGAGTCTCCTGCCTCTGCCTCCCAAGTAGCTGGGACCACAGGCACCCACCACAATGCCTGGCTATTTTTTGGTTGCAGCCGTCATTGTTGTTTGGCGTGCCTGGGCTGGATTTGAACCCACCACCTTAGGTGTATGTGGCTGGTGCCTTAGCCACTTGAGCCACAGGCGCCGAGCCCTAGCTATTTTCTTGTTGCAGCTGTCATTGTTGTTTAGCTGGCCCAGGCTGGGCTTGAACCTTCCAGCCTCGGTGCATGTGGCTGGCACCATAACCACTGTGCTACAGGCACTGAGCCAGGTTTGAGTGTTTTTATCATCATTTCTCAGAACTAAGAAATAGGTGTTAGTCTACACATACCTGGAAGACAAGGTTGATGCTGCTGACATACCAAGTTTGGTTCTGGAAGTATGGGTACTTCTTCAGAAACATACTTTAAAAGCTCCTTCCCAAGATATGTTACCTGCACATAATTAAGTACAGAATATAAAAATCATATATTCTATAAGAGCCAAATATATCTTCCACATGAAAACTGTAATTGTTGCAAAGTATTGATTGTTGTATATCATAGATTAAGAAACTATAGCAAAGCCAGCCTGCTAACTCCTTTTTAAAATAGGTTTTATTAGAATACAGTGAGGTTCGTTTATTTACATCTATAGTCTATGGCTATTTTCATGCTACATCAGAATTGAGTAGCTGTGATAGACCACATGCCCATATAGCCCAAAATATTTACAATCTGGCCCTTTAAAGAAAAAAAATTATGTATCATTGTTTCATCCATTCATTTATTCAATAACCATTAATCTATTACCTGCTACTTGATAACTTAATGAAATTAATGTTACATTAATAAAATGAAGTCACAAAAGTAATGGTAATTTTCAAGAAATCAGATATTTAACTTATTAAATTAATAACATTTTATGTCTGCATATCCATGTTTTTGTCTGTTTGTGAACTTAGATGATATTATCAGGCCAAAAGGTCACAGCTTAGAAATATCTACACATGAATGGGCAGGCCTATAGCAGACTAGCAAATACCTGTCAGAAATGTTCTGCACCCTAAGAGTAACTGTAGGACAATCTAAGATAATGTACCTTCAGAGGCTGGTTCACTGTGGCAAAGCATCAAAATTCAGCTCAAACATTCCTTCCTCTAGGATGCCTTCCTGTGCTCTCTAAGCTCAAGTAATGACCTTCTTTCAGGCTCCCATAACCTCTGAATTCATATTTATACATATATCATTTAAATAAAATTATATTGTAATGTACTTGTTTCCATTAAACCATAAGCTCCTTGAGGGCAAGGCCTGTGCATATTTATTTTTATATCCTTTGCATTTCACATAGTGCCTGACAGTACTGGGTAAAAGACTCTGAAGTCTCAGTTCTTTTTTTTTTTCTTTTTGAGACAGAGTCTCACTTTGTTACTCTTAGTAGAGTCTTGTGGCATCATAGGTCACAACAATCTCAAACTCTTGGGCTCAAGTGATCCTCTTGCCTCAGCCTCCCTGGTAGCTGGGACTGGAGGAGCCTACCCGGCTATTTTTTGAAGACAGGGGTCTCGTTCTGGTTCAGGCTGGTCTCGAACTCGTGAGCTCAGGCAATCCACCCACCTCGGCCTCCCAGAGTATTGGTATTACACATGTGAGTTACTGTGCCTAGCTTTGAAATCTCAGTTCTTATGCAAGATTCTTAAATTCTTTGAACCACAGTTTATGTGTTTATAAAACACGTACCTCCAGTTTATGAAGCCATATTTAAAGAGACAATGCAAGAAAAGCATTTGGCATACTGTCTAGTATATCCAAGTGCTCAATAAATGCATGGTAAATGGAATAAAGTAAGAAAGGTGTAAGGGATCAGGAAGGTATAGGCACCCTCCAGGCTCAACCTCATGACCAAATAAAGCCTGGTAATGGAAATAGAACAGATCTGGCTCACCCAGTGTGCCAAGACCTCTGAATGCTGTTTGTCAGTTCTCCAAACAACCATTGGAAACAATGGATGTTGTATGTGTTATGCCCTGACAATGCCCAACAAACCTTACACGCTTATTATGCTCAATATGTTTTCACTTGTACCTCAGACTTAATATATACCTTTGTCAGTTAGTGCTGGGTAGCATAAGGTGACTTATACATACCACTAGGGATGATTCAGACATAAAAATAATACAGCCTTAAGAAAATCCAATGAGTTAAAAATCTACTTTCCAGAAGGTAGGAGTAAACAGGTTAATGAACAGACTTCAAAACAAACAGGCACTAGATCACTTCTGGAAAGTGCATTTCATATTAGTGTCTGTGCAAAACTTCCAGTTGGCTAAAGCATAAGAGCAAATAGTCATCACATATGCGTATGACTCAAACTTTGAATCCTGAACTAAATCTCATTGGCTCTAAATCTATGGCAGGTGAAACTGAAGGTGAGGCTCTTAGACTCTTGGACTATAGCAGTGATGTCAACAACTTCACCATCCAAAACCCATTTGGATGAAGGGCATTTGATGGCATGCCACCTTTCCCCAGAGGAGAACATGTAAGAGAAATGGAACTTAGTATATACGGCTAGTAAGAAGATGTTTCTAGGCTGCCATCTTGCTCTCGGCCCTTTTTACTTTTCTAAAAGGTAGAAGTGCAGAAGTGTTTTGTCCTAGAACCACTGATGCTTTCCCTGAAGCTCTTCCAGCAAAAATCTTCCTTATTCTTCAGAAATGAGACTATGTGGGTTCTTAATATTGTGTCAGACTTAGGAAGAAGTACGGTATGTGGAGACAGAGAGAAAGGGTGTGTGTGTTTGAGGTGGATGGATGACCCAGTCAGCCACTATTATGGAAATGTAGCTAATAAGCCAAGTAAAAATTATCAATTAACTTTATTTTGGCAAGGTCTTTGAAAGAAATAAAATGTGGAATTGTCATTATTAACTGCTGTAAATTGTTTCCCTATACCCTATGTACTAATATGCCTCAAAAAAATATAAAACATAAGCTGCCTTTGAATAATAAAGAGGTATCCAAGAATATATTTTCCTACTGGGATTCCATTTTGTTTGAAAGTATTAAGTCAATTTTTTACATGTTCAGAAAAATCATTTAAGTTTTGACCAATAGAAATCTGCTCAGAGATCATTAAATGACTATTTTAATTGAATGTAAGTTTTTTTTTTTTGAGACAGTGCCTCATTATGTCACCTTTGGTAGAGTGCCATGGCATCATCACTCACAGAAACCTCAAACTCTTGGGCTTAAGCAATTCTCTTGTCTCAGCCTCCTGAGTAGCTGGGACTACAGGCACCTGCCTTAACGCCTGGCTATTTTTTGGTTGCAGTTGTCACTGTTGTTTAGTAGGCCTGTGCTGGGCCTGAACCTACCAGCCGTGGTGTATGTGGCTGGCGCCCTACTCACTGAGTTATAGGCGCCGAGCCTGCACTGTAAGTTTTAAGAAGCAAACGTTACAAATTTTCCCCACCCCAGTAGAGAAAGAAGAAAGGGTAATTGATTTTTTAAATCTCAGGCTAGAAAAAAAGGGAAGGAAACCAAAGAAAACTGTAGAGTTTGTTTTTTTTTAAGTTCATTATAATGCAAAAGACATTTTGGCTAATAAAAATGTTTCTCAAAATATTTCTTTAGGAATTCAGAATAAAAGGCAGAAAGTAGTTTTAATGCATAATAACTGCCTAGGATGAGCTGATTCTAGGGAAATGTGTAGATAAAGTTTACCTTCGTAGTATCCACCTCCCCATTCCAGGGTCTTCTTCCCCACATCCCCAACACTCTATGCAGCTGGAGGCAAGAAAAGACTCTTCATATTACTTGTTTTTAAGATTCATAATTCCTAGATATTTGTATTTTAAAAGAGGTCCATATCTTTAACCATCTCTTTTTTCCTTCCTTCCCTTCTATGAGGGAGCTAAGCAAAAGCAGGGTTGACAGGTAGCTTAAGATACATTAAGAATTGTGAGTAACTGCCTGAATGAGTTTGGCTGTGTTTCCAGAGGAACAATTTTAATCATTTTCTATATTCCTACCCAACTTTTTCATATCTTGATATTCCAAACATGGTGGTGGGAGGAATTTTTTTTTTAAGTGGGGGATGGAGGGAGAGGACTATATAGAACAGTCAATACTAAATCTAAGGAATGGAAAGAGCAGAAATAGGGTCGAAGTTCATTGAGATATCTGGACAGAAAGTATGTCTGCAGAAGAGATCTGTCTAGTACTCCTTGAATCACTACATAAAATAGCAGTCCACTTTTCATCTGCATCAATCCAATCCTGGGTACTCATAAAATTGAGCTGTCTTTGCCATTATTATGATTCTTACTGACATTCATAGTGGAATCATATTAAAGAAAGGCATTTTTCCTGTGCAAGTGGGCAATTTTTGCTGCCTAAGACTGAGGCTTTCTATATATTCATAAAGGTAGCTAGATGATACTGCATACTTTTTTGAGCTCAGGACAACCTGTTTTAAATAAAAGAAATGTGGACCTCTTTTGTGCCATTGTTATAAACATAGAAAATAATGTATAGGGAATCATTAAATCAGGTTCTAGTTCTGGTTCTGTCATTTACTGCTGGCCTAATCAACTGAGCCTAGAAAACACTGTTTCACATCCATAAACAGCGATAATGATCTTTTTGTCTCATAAAGATGTTGTGTAAAAGTGTTTTATAAACCACCGAGTGTCATTCCTAGAATCTCCAAGTTGGCAGGTCTTTAGAGACCATCTAGAACTCCTTATTTTATACATAAGCAAATAGGCTGCACATTACAATCATCTGGAATGATTTTTTTTTTTCCTTTTCGAGACAGGGTTCTAGCTTGGTCACTTGGACTAGAGTGCAGTAGTGTCATCAGAGCTCACTACAACCTCAAACTCCTGGGTGTAAATGATCTCTTGTCTGAGCCTCTCAGGTAGCTGGAACTACTACAGGTGTGCATCACCATGCCTGCCTAATTTTTCTACTTTTTTTTACAGAGACGAGGTCTTACTCTTGCTTAGGCTAATCTTGAACTCTTGGCCTCCAAAGATCCGCCCCTCTGGGCCTCCCAAAGTACTAGGATTATAGGTGTGAGCCACTATGCCAACCCTAGAATGCCTTTAAAAATAAAACTCAGACTATTAGATCAAAATCTATGGGGCTGAAGTCCACTAGACGCTGGTAGTTTTTAAAAGCCCCTCAGGTGATTCTAATGTGCAGCCATGATTTAAAGCCATTGCCTGGATCATATGATGTATAAAGGGTGAAACCAGGAACTAGTGTGGTCTCCTGTCTGTCTTCCAAAAATCTCTCTGCCACACAAGAATGGTAACTACAAAGTGGAAGGCTGCAGAAACAGGGGAAGTCATTGATGCCTGCTGGGAGTAAGCATTAGTATTTCCCTGGCAAAGAAGGCATGAGTCGCCTCTGTGTCTAATGGTTCTGCCGCTCTGTATGATGCAGGACAAGATCAAGTTTACCGGGATTTCCTGCCTAACAGCCAACCACCCCACTCCCGGCCCCATACCTCCACCACCATCCTCAGAACTAGTCAGTAGAAATGTTCATATTTACCAATGTAGCAAAAAGCTCCTTTCACTAAGAAGTGATTGTGATTTCAGAAGTTACTCTAAGACAAGAAGAGGTAAAGGTTTCTGTGGCAAACTTTAAAGAAGAAATTAAGAGTCTTTTAAATATTATAAAGAAACATACTTGGGTAACATTTCTCATCTTGGGGTACCCACAGTAATTTAAAAAGTTCTGTTTTCATTTTCTGTTTAATCCAAAGAAAAAAAATCCTGCTCAGATAATCTGTATGAATATCTTATATCCAAAAACTGTTTTATTTTTTGTGCCCACATTTGCATGTGGCTTCACTATCACATTAAGTGCTAAATAGCATGACTTTAATTGACAGGGTTGATGAGAAAATACTGGAGGCAATGTGATATGCACATGAGGCATTAGTACAGAGTCAAGGCCAAATCACGTCACAGCCCACTATTCAAAGGCAGGAAATTCTGTAGTTCCAATAGAGACAAAGAGTAGGAGACCTGAGTCATCACTGGGCATACTATAGCATAGGAATATTAAGCTCAAAGGAACCCCAGCTATAGCAATTTGTACAGTATCTGTCCTGTAAGCAAGATTCAATTTCAACAAGAAAGTATAATCTACCACAAATTTAAGAAACTTTGTAATAGGGATTTTCATGGGCAAGAAGTTAATTCCTAATATTAAGCAAAGGGACCAAGGTAAACTGAAAGCAGATGGTTTGGTAACCCCAAGGGAGGAAAAAACAAAAAAAACACTTTAGGATAATTAAAAGTCAGAGAGACTATACAGCAGACAAATTTTAGAATATGCTGATGTAAGTGAAGGAACTGAAATACAGTGCAAGAAGCATCTGCCACAAAGGTCTAGGAGACGAGAATGCAGAGTTGGGACACAGCAGGGACTAGGAGGGACAATGTGCAGAGATGGGATGAATTAAAAAGAGGAGAAGAAGCTGTGCCTCCTGTTACTGGGGCACTGAAGCTGCCTGTAATGGTTACTAGAAGTCAAATATAGCTTCTATTCTTTACAACAGTAAGAGTAGATGTCTGATGATTTCCACTTTCCTGGGTCAATCATTTTAAGACTGTCCGTAAGGGGTGTCATGGACATCTAAGTGTGGAAGAATACTGGACCCCAAGGGTTTCAGTCACTACTGGGCTTTTAACTCAGAAGCTGGAACTCAGGAGGAGGCTATGAAGTAAGTCTGGGAGGTCTGAACGCAAATACTTCTTTTTGGAGGGCTAGCAATTCATGAACAAAGATATTATCAAACATAAAAGTACACTAAGAATGGACGGTGCCTGTGCCTCAGAAGGGCAGGGTGCCAGCCCCACATGCCAGAGGTGGCAGGTTCAAACCCAGCCCTGGCCAAAAAAAAAAAGTACACTAAGAATGGGCCCCTTGCCTATTCTTTTTGTATTTAGGAGGAAATTTTACTTTATTTCATTAAAATAATAACATATTAACTAAATTATCAATATGCCAGTGGTACCATATTTTCTATGTGGAGTCACAAAGACCTGAAATCCCTTGAGGAGACAGAAGGGGAAAATGAGGGGTATTAAAGTTTCTGATACTAGGTGAGGAGCAAGGAAGGGAAGGCACAGGCATCTGTGTGACATTGACCATGGGGAATTCTGATAAATAGGAGTTGAGAGAGGAAACAGGTAGCATACTACAGAAGGGACACATGAGGACAAAAGCTAGCTTAGAGATCATTCAGATTTCTTAAAAAAGAAAAAAGGAAATAGTTCTATCATTAAAAAAATGATACATTTGAATATAAAGTTACAGATAAACTTAAAAAGACTCACCTTACTCCAAGCATAATTCCAGGTCACGTAACTGTCACTTCCCAGAAGATCTTTAAGCCAAGTAACTGGGTTTTGATAAATCTGACCACTTTCTACCTTAATTTTACCACTCAATAAAATGCTGGCTTTGTAGGTAGCTTCCTGAAATGAAAAAATAAAAAAAATGAAAAATCAGCATGTATATATGTGTGTGATATATATATATATCCCAGGTTTTAGGGTAAATCTGGTCCCTGTTACTTTGTCATGTATGTGTGTGTGTGAGTGTGTGAGAAGAGAGAGAGAGATTGAGAGATTCAGATTGAAAGTATCTGGAAATGGTCATGAGGGCATGCAGCAAATAAAGAAACACCTATTCGACAAAATCTATAAAACTTACATTTAAAAGGTGAGAGTGTGCTTCCTTCTTCCCCACTTCCAGCTCAGTGAGGTGGAGACTCTACTCCAGATTGCTCTAGTCAAGACCACAGAGGTCCTGTTAGAGGGCTATCTTCCTGGGAGGGACAAAACTTCAGCATTTCTCAACCTATCCTCAGCATCTGCTCCTAAGGCTAAGTTGCAGACAACTGCAGCCAGAATGTGGGGATTCCCTTCTTTTGCCCAGCTCTGAGTGATGAAACAGAGGCTTTATTTTTGACATGGCATCACTGAGTCTTGTGGGAACTCAAGCACCTTTGCCTTAGCTTGTAAGGGGGTAAATTTAAATTGGGAGAGGCAAGTTTAAAAGATATGAGGCCTCTGCCCCCTCTCCAGTGAGTGCTCACCTCCTAAAGTAGAGGTATTACTCAGAGAGTAATCATCATTGTCCCTACGCCTAGTTCCAGGGCCATGGCTCAGTGATTTTGCCTGGGAAGAGAAGAAGGCCTTAAAGTAGATAGCTCCTAACCTCTTCTTAAAGGAATTAACTTCATTTGTAATGCTTTTGGAGAAGTTCAAGCTCAAGGATGCTTTCAGAAAGAGCAGAAGTTGTGGTAAAAGACAACTACAAGTAGACTGCTAGATTCATTTGAGAAAACAGGCTAAACTACAGGTTGGCTAGTTTTCAAGAAACAACTGGGAAAAGAACTGGCAGAAGCCTTCCAGGAGTCATAAGGAATTTCACTGACCTGTAGAGCAATTTATGCCTCTGAACATTGTTGAAAACAATAGATCAGTGGAAAATAAGTAGAGCTTAATTATTGTATGTGGTCAAGGGAAGAGAGCCAAACAACTGAAGTTTAACACTAAAGTGAAGAGAAACAGACTTCACTAAAACAATCTAGCCAATAACTATACAAATTAGCAAATAACATCAAGAAGCCTAAGAGAAGGTAGGGACTAGTACATACAGTTATAGTACAATACTATAAACCAACTAGACTTAACAGGCATCTATATAGAAAACTTCATTTAACAACAGGTCAATACACATTCTTCTCAACTGCACACAGGCCATTATTCTCCAGGATAAACATATTATTAGGTAAGCCATACAATACATCTCAAAAAATTTAAAAGGAATGGTGTATGGCACACCTCTTGGGGGCAGGACACAATTATAAGAGGGACTTTATCTAACAAATGTAATCAGTGTAACCTAATTCTTTGTACCCTCAATGAATCCCAAACAATTAAAAAAAAATTAAAAAGACTGAAATAATACAAATTATTAATAGAATAAATCTAAAATTAGAAATGACTAACAGAAAAGTAAGAAACTCAAAGTTATATGGAAATCAAACAATATATCCTAAATAATTAATGGATCAAAGAAGTAAGCAAAAGGAAAATCAGAAAATACTTTGAGATGAATGAAAATGAAGATATAATTGTGCTGCAAAACCAGTGGTTAGAGGTAAATTTATAGGCATAAAAATGCCTACACTGAAAAAGAAGGAAGATTGGAACTTTAGATTTTTCCTGTACTTGTGTGGCCCTGAGGCTATCCATCTAGCCAGCTATTTTTTAATCTTGGCAGTAAATGCTCAGCGGTACATGCTGTGCTGCCTCTGTGAGGTATGTGCTAAAGGAAATGTAAATAAGGATGGTATTCCTTCCCTTTAGGAGAGGAGGTATAAAGTTCTTGAGACATTTAAAGTCTATTTACCAGTGTGAAAAACGCCCTTTGTGGAGGTTAATTCATTATGAAAATAAAACATTTCCTTAAAAAGAAAGAAGGAAGAAATCAATTCACTAACCTAACTTTCCAAACGAAGACACTAAAGAAGAGCAAACTAAATCCAAAGCAAGCAGGAGGAAGTAAATAATAGAGTGGCAAGAAATAAAACAGACAATAGAAAACAGTAAAGAAAAATCAATAAAACCAAAAGCTGATTTTTTGAAAAGATCAATAAAATTGAGAAAATTATAGCTAGATTGACCAAGTAAGTGAGAACAGACATCTGAATATACCTATAAAAAATAAAAACGACTGAATTAGTAATAAAAACACTACCACAAAGGAAATCACAAGCACAGATGGTTTCACTGTGGAATACTACAAAACATTTAAAGACAACTTAATACCATTTCTTCACAAATTCTTCCACAAAACAGGAGAGAGGAAACACTTTTAAACCATTCTCTGAGGGTAGCATTATATTACCCTGATGCCCAAACCAGACAAAGACAACACAAAAAAACTACCAGGCCATATTCTTTAACAAATATGGATGCAAAAATCCTCAACAAATACCAGCAAACCAAATCCAGAAACAAGTAAAAATAATTATTTGCATGACCAGAATTGTTTATCATGCATTTATCTCAGAAATGCAAAGTTGGTTTAATATCCAAAAGTTAATTAATGTGATAATCCACATTAACAGAACAAAAAACAAAACTACATGATCATTTCAATAGGTAAAGAAAGAACATTTTACACAATTTGGTACCTTTACATGATTAAAAAAGCACTTAAACTAAGCATAGAAGAGAATTTCCTCAGCCTAACAAAGAGCTTTTATGAAAAACCTACAGCTAACATCCTACCTAATAGTAAAAGATTATATATTTTTCCTCCTCCCAAAAAGTGGTCTTATCTTAGGAGAAAATAAAAGTCTGCTGTTATCACTTTATTTCTGCTTTGTACTAGATGTTTTAGCCAGTGTAGTTAGTCAACAAAAATAAATAAAAGGTATTCAAAAATTAAGGAAGCAAAACTATCTTTATTCATAGACAACATGATCATTTGTATAGAAAATCCAATGGAATTTCCAGAAATTTACTTGAATAAGTGATTTTTTAGTGAGTTTGTAAGGTAAGGTCTCAATATACAAAAATCAGTTGTATATCTACATATTAGTAATAAACTAGAATTGAAATTTAGAAAACAAGAGCAAGATGGTGATCAGGAAGACCACTTGACTGAGCTCTCCTAAATCAACTGGCAAACGGGAGTTAGTCGGGCTTCATTTGGAGAGAAAATTTTGCCTGGAGCTGTGGTTTAGAATGTGTTGCAAGGCGGCAGGGTATTGTGGGGGTGACAGGGTGGAGATCTGACTCACTAACCAAGTGTTATGCGAACCGTGGACGGCAGCCATGAAGGTCCGGGTCATGAGAAAGCCTTGTTGCAGTTTTCATTTTGGGGAGAAATGTGCTGAGTGGGTAGCCTGGAAGACTGGATACACCCGAACAATAAATAGCAGCCAGATGTGAAGGCTAGTTGGAGTGGATTTGCCACCGGTTTGGCAGTGGTAGATTAGGCCATTCTGGGAAGGTCCTGACATCAAGGGCTCAGTCACTATGGAAAGGTTGTGAGAAGGTTATGAGGGCGGGTCTCCTACAAGAACGTAGGCATCTTAGTTCTGTCTGCTCAGATTGGACCTCCAGTCATGACAGGCTCAGGGACTCCCACACCCCATCGGAACTCTTGTCTAGGACACAGTAAGACCTGCCTCTGAAAGAGTCTGGAGAGAGCTGAGTCCCCAACCTGATGGAGCCTGAATGCTGAGGAAATAATCACTGTGGACTTTAAGTTGGGGATCAGGTCTATGCCTAGGATCGAGAGAGAGGTTATCAGCTGTGTTGCCCATCCCCTAAAACTACAGCGCCACTTGATGTCCCAGCAATATATTACAACACAAATGGACTTCAAAAGTCAGACCCTCTGGTCATATACAGATACATAGTTTTTTTTCTTGTTGTTGTATTTTTTCTTTCTTTTTGTTGTTGTTCCTTAATTTTTTTGTTCCTTAGGTCATTTATATATGGTTATTAGAGATTTTCATTATTTTGTATTGATGTGTCTTATTTATTGCTTATTTGTATGGCTGGTCTTAAGTTCTAGTTTTACTTACATCAAGAGCAAGGGCTCCTGTACTTTTTGGTTACAGTATTTTAGACTCATTTATTCTCTCTCCTTATTCCACTCCTGTACGTTTTCCCTTTGGACAGAGACTCTTCTACCTTCCTCATCTCTCCCACATTAATCACTTCTGCAACAGCTAAAATACCCTCTCCTTTTTTTCTTGTCTTTCTCCTTTCTTTCTTTCTTTACTCCACTTCCATCTCCTCTATGAGATACAATGGTATTTTTAATTTCATTTACCTATTCTTCTTATTGTATCTTTTTCCTTTCTTTCTTTCTTTTTTTTTTTTTT